GTAGAAGCTTTGAATGGAAATGGAAGAGGGATCTGCTGCTGCTGCACAGACTTCTCTGTGACATCTGTACAAGACTAAGCTGGTTTGGCCTGCACTGGGTTGTTATCCAGCTCTTTACTGCTTCTCAAAGTTATCACTGACATTACCTTTAGGATTCACCACAGGTTGAGAAGGTAACGCTCTAGACCCCTGCTACTGCAGATTGTTCATTGAGGCAGCTAATTGCCCAATTTGGGTCTGTAAATCTTGTATAGTAGTTGAAACATTCTGTTCGAACTGTAGACTCTGTGTAGCCATCTGGTTCATCAATTCTTCCAAAGAAGGGCCGGAATTAGGTGGCTGCTGTGGAGCTTGCTGTTTGAGAGGAGGAGGAGTATATTTCAGCTGTGGCTGTGCTGGCTGGTGGACTGGATGCTGCACAGGCTGTGGTTGTTGGTAATTATACCTCTGCTGATATTGTGTTTGGCCTAGACCATATCGCAGGTTAGGATGATTCCTCCACCCTGGATTATATGTAGGTGCAAATGGATTATATTGTTGCTGCTGTTGGTACGGAGGATGTATACTTGCCACCAAATGGGACGGTGCACTGGATGTCTCTTGCAGCTAAAGATAAGCATCCGTGTAATAATCACTGAACATATACCACATGTCTGTGGCGCTACCTGTCCCATTGCTAGTTGCCTCACTAATGAAGTTAACTCCATAAGCTTATTTTTCAGCCTCTAATTATCGACCGCAACCACAATGGTAGTTGTTGTTTCATGCATAGATTTGGTCACACTCCTAAAACTGAACTGCTGTGAGTTCTTTGCCATATTGGAAATCAAATACCTTGCAGCTACAGGGGTCTTGTCCATCAAAGCTCCTCCACTAGTTGCATCAATCATGGTCCTATCTATAGGAAGTAAACCTTCATAAAAATACTAAATCAACAACTGCTCATTAATTTGGTGATTCAGACAGGTTGCACAAAGTTTGTTAAACCTCTTCCAATACTCATACAAAGTCTCTCCTTGCAGTTGCCTAATCCCACTTATTTCTTTTCTGATTGCTGAAGTTCTAGAGGCAGGGAAGAACTTCTCTAAGACTTTTCTCTTCATGTCATTCCAGGTAGTGATTGGTGTTGGCTGCAAGTAAAGCTAGTCCTTAGCCACGTCACATAGTGAGAGTGAAAATGCTTTCATTTTCACAAAGTCTTCAGGCACGTCTATTGGCCTCATGGTAAAGCAGACTACATGGAACTCCATCAAGTGTTTGTGCGGATCCTCTCCTGGTAGTCTGTGAAATTTGGGCAGTAAATGTATCAAACCAGACTTCAATTCATAGGTGGTTGTGCCTTCTTATAACTGAGGCACTTGGATGCAAAGTGGCTGGTGGCCAACATTAGGGGCAGCCTGCTCCTTCAAGGTTCTCTCTTAGTGGTTGTTTTCAATCATCTGTCTTGTATTGCACTCTCTTTGTGATTGTTGTAATCTCTGAAGCCTTGACCGTATTCTCTCAATCTCAGGATCTAACGGATACAGTGTACCTAGTCTAGACCTAGTCATGCATGGTTATAATCACAAAAAACATCGTGCACTTAATAAACACTCACAAAGTAAATAATGTCAATTTACAAAGCAAGTATTGTAAAAATGTGAGATATGGATGAATTGAGGCCTTGAGAAATCTCTTTTTGGTATAAGAAAATACCACAAAAATTTTCAGAATTTTTTGAAATGCACAACTAAGTAAACTAGATGCCTAAAAGTAGGAAAAATAGGTAAATAAATAGTAGAAAATAAAACAATTTTAGAAAGCAGGCAATCTTTGAAAATTTGGGCAACGAAAATTGGCATCGCAAGTTGTAATGAATAGGAAATTTTTTTCTACCCCAAATGCATATGCAATAATGTCAATTCTGAGTTTTTTAGTCAAAGTTATGCCTGTTTTAAGATTTCACAATTTTTTCTTTGCCACTCACTTGTATATTTTTTCTACTACTCTTTTTGCAAATCCGACAACTCTACTATCCAAAAGACACTAAAAGAAATGTGGACACAAAAATTCAACTCAAAATTCAATCTCTAACTATTTTAATTGATTTTTCTAAAATCGGGTAAATAATAAGTGAATAGTAACCTACACTGGCGACGCAACACAAACGAAAACGAAGCAAACGCAAAGATGCCAAGACTCAAAGACACAAAGATGCAAACAAACAACGTAGGAAATTAAATAGAGCTGTTAGCGCATGTAATAGAATTAAAACAAAGTGACTTGTATCTCCGGCAACGACGCCATTTTGACAACCACGTCGTAATGGTTTCAAACAAAACTAGATTCCTCAAACAAGCATGCAACATACGGACTAAACCTAGGTCATCTCACAAGAACACAAATTTATTCTATTTCCAATTTTAGACATGCAACGGTGATTAATTTGGGATTTGTTATTTAACAATGAATTAAAAACGAAAGTAATTCAAATGAAAGCAGATCAAGACAATGAAAATGAATCTAAAAATAAATTTAAAAACAAATTTGAAAATGAATTTGAATTTAAAATTTGAAAACAAATCTAAAAATAAATTTGAAAACGAATTTGAATTTAAAATTTAAAAACAAATCTAAAAAAAAATTGAATTTAAAATTTGAAAACAAATCTGAAAAAAATAATTGAAAATAAAAATTGAAAAACGAAAATTGAAAACAAAAATTGAAAAACAAAAATTAAAAACAAAAATTGAAACAAGAACAATTAAAACTAATCGAATTAAACCCACGAACCACACATGCAAACTAGGATTACTATACCAAATTTATCCAAAACTCAAATGCAATAGAAAACAATCGATTGATATTACATGCAAGAACAAAAATCAAATTCAATCAAATTATGCATGCACAAATCTTAATCAAGAATTATGAGAAGGTAAAAAGACAAACTCGGAGCGCTCAATTGATCTAGCAATCCACGCTTGAGACGAGATGATTCACGACACCAAATAATTAAGAACATAGCAGGATCCGAATAGATGCAAGCGAATGGAATGGAACAAATTTACTCTCAAAAATAGGAAAATATCTTTACAGAAAAATGAAATTATTAAAATGATAAGAAGAAGGGTCCAAAATCAACCTTTTGCCCCATATATATACTAGTCTTAAATGAAAACAAAAATAAATGGGCCAAGGCCACCGCAAGTAAATAAAATTAAAAGTCCTAAATAAAAATCCTAAATATAAAAGGTATGTTTTAAGTCTGATCTTCAAAAAATAATAAAAAATAGGTTTGAGCTCGAAACAACATGATCCATATGTCCAAATTGAAGCCCAGGAAATGAAGAATCCATTGCAAAAAGAATCAGCCAAAAAGGAGATCTACAGAAAAAGTTATAGCTGAAATAGTGAACAAATGTCAGAATAGCAAAACTATGAAATATAAGGTAAAAATAACAAGTATTTATGAAAACTCCAATTTAATGCAAGAATTGCAAAAAATGCTAAATGAAATAAATAAAGAAGTAAAGATATTTTGGAATATGCAATAAGACTATAAATGTGAGTACAAAATATGAGTCATCAAATACTCCCACACAATGAAGCATCTCTGATACCTTTTAATGAAGCTTTAATAAGCTTTTGGTCATTATTTTAAATCTATACACTTTTATTTTCTTTAAAGCGATAACTTAGAATCCTTAAGATTCGTGTTTCAGTTTTTTTTTTATATTTTGGACATACACACTCTAAAAGTTGTGTTTGTCATAAAAAAATACTTGTGAAAAGTTTAATTATTCTAGTGAAAAAAAAAAAATCCCATGATGAATGAGAATTTAAGGTTATCTTAAGTAGTTGGAGGTGAATTAGGATATAAATGTATTTTTCTTACTCTTTTACTTATTAAGTTTTATTTGCAATGAGATTATGAACATTAAAATATTAATACTATTATCTTTTAAACTACATAAAGTGTTGTTAAATAAATTTATATTCTTAATTGCTTATTTAATTTATTTATTTATTTTATTTACATCTTTTCTTAAGAACCTTATTTATCTTGTCTTTGTAAAATTATCTTTTAAATCTTTAAACAATTTATTTTTATAATCTATTTTGAATATAAACTTTATTTTATATAATAGTTCTTTTGAGTGTATATCTTTATTAAAGATAGGTTTGCATTTCTATAAAATAGCTTGGTGACATATTCCACTCTTCTTATTTGACTATTAACATTTTTATTAAGCTTCTAGAATCTAAGCAAATACAAGAGAATATAGTTAAAAGTGTTTTAAATTTTTTAATAAAATTTCAAGTTGGTAAAGCTTTTGAGAATCAAAATTCAATTTTTCTTCCCGTGACATTCTTTTATCTATTTCATGCACTTTTTTTTTTATCTCCATAATAATATTGAAGTTTCTTTTGTAAGTAATTGTTTTTTAATTATTTTTAAAGTGTGAAGGTTTTTGGAGGCATTTCAAGAATAATAGGAACATAAAACTTAAAGAATTGTATGAAATAATAATTAGGTTGGGAGGAATGGATTTATGTAACAAAGGAACCAGACAGTAGAAAACATGGGCTTGCTAATCAAGGATTAAACATAGCCATAGGTTTATAAAGATTGAATTGGATCTAATTAAATTTAAATTTAAATCAATTAGATGATAACTAAAATTGATAATGTTAAAGGAAATGAATATTTTACTGTATTTATTAAACTTAAAAAAAATACTTTAATAAAAATAAAATTTTGTTATTTTTTTTTGTTGGAAAATTTTAAGTTATTTTAAGAATCTAATTTAGTAACTCATAAAATCTTTTAAAATAAAACATTATGATTATAATTAAAAGGTACGTATTTATTATTTAAAACAAAGAGATAAACGCATTCTGTTTTTCTAACATCTTTTTTTTTTTTGGAAAAAGATAAACACATTCCGTTTTCTTTTTAAATTTAGTTTCAAAACAAAATAAGATAAATCGAGAGGATTCCATTCCATATATATATGTACACCTACGTGTCCTCACTCACTATTCACAGTGATTCCTCCTCCTTGTGATTGACACGGATCGAAGAAGTAGCACGCGGTGGGTGGAGCGTTGAAGAATGGGTACAAGAGAGGTGTATGAAGAGAAGCTACGGAACGGAAATCTCCACCATGACCCTACCCTCAACCCTGGCCTTGGTTCCCCTCGATGCCCTCGCTGTCTCTCCCTTCTCAACCCTAATTCCGTGAGTCTCTCTCTTTCTCTTTGCCTGCCAATTAGGTGTTCGATGAATTGACTCAACCAAATTAACTCTCTTTTTTTCGTTTTTCAGGAAAGAGGCGAATGGACCATCACTTCCGTCTTGCACGACGCCACTGCTGTTGTGAGTCCCTCTCTTCTTCCTGGCGATTTTAATATAAGTATTGAACTTCACTTCGTAATTGGTTTTGATTTTCGTTAACGAAATTAAAATTACTGAGTAAACCTTCACATTAGTTTACGAAATTTTATGGGCGAATATTTGAGTCCTCGAGATATTAAAATTTTTTGTTAGTCCCTGATTTTGCAAAACGAGTTCACCTTTGTTTTGTTTTGTTTTAATACAAAACAATGATAAAAATAGAATAAAAAACGGCTACAAGAAAATTTCTTTTTACAAGGTCAGAAACTAGTAAGGAATTCTAATATCTCAGTATCCAAATGTCCGACCCACACAATTTCAAGGACTAACTTGGGATTTACTCTAAGATCAATGTGAATTTACGTTTTTTTGTTATTTTTCTTTTTATAAGTTGTGTTTTCTGTTTAATAGGCTGGCTCAGGCATTGGTAGTATGCTTAGTGCAGTTTATGGTTTGAACACAGGTAACACTATTTTTCATGTTCTTCTTTATCTAATGTCTTGTCAGAGTATAGTTATTCGGGTTATTTAGTTGTAATTAAAGGTATTTACAGTTTCTATTTTTAAGTAGGCATCCTATTATTTGTTGATAGTGTTATTTGAAGGTGTTGCTAATTAATCTTGGGTTGTAGGTTTACCTTATCTTCAAAATCGTCTGAAGGGACCGAAGTGGCTTCCTTTTGTAGTTGGGGTATGTAAACTGTAATGAACTTTTGAGTTTCCTTTGTAAATTACAATTACTTAGCTTTATGCTTTGTTGATACCTTGAATAGACCTTTTGTAGATGCATTTATCATTTTTATGTTTTTCTTTTATATTTAGCAGAACAAATATAGTGATGTGCTGTAGAGCTTAATTATATTATATTCTATAGCTAACTTATATCTTTTCTAATTTGTTTGCAGATCCCTCCGTTGTTGATATTCTCAGGCGCAAGTGCTGCATTTGGAGGTAACTTCTATACATGACTACTACTTAGATTGATATTCGTCATTTGAGTTTTAATAGTTCACACGGCTGAATATTTGACAACAATTGGCAATGGCTCTAACTGAAACCATAGGTTATGCCTCATTTTTCTTTTGTTTTATGTTACTTGGATGATTGGATCATTATTGTATAGCTTGAGATTTCTACCTAAGGATATGAAGGGTGGGTTGGACAGGAATTTGTGATTTTAACATGGATCAGAAGATCCTACCTTAAATGTGAAATTATATTCAAACAAATATATATACGTTTAAATGACTCCGAAGGAGAGGAAAGTTCAACCATTACTGTCCTGTCACAGACAAGTTTGAACTAGCCATCATCCACAAATCAAAGATGAACTTGCATGAATGGCCAGTAACTGTGTCTTATGAGTTATGATAAACTTTGATCTCCAAAGAGATATTAAACCCTTCATGAGCTTCTACTTAATAGCTTAGTTTCAGAAAATCTGGAGTCATTGGCACTAAAATGATTGAATGGTTGTCATATTTGCTTGCTTTTTAAGTTAGAAAGTGTGCTCAGAGGGTAATTAAAACACCCATCTCAAACGGTTAGATAGAACTACTTTCTCTATCCTTTTAGAGTCTTACTTGTTTAAAACATCTTAATAGGGTTTTAAAAATTGAATCGGACCAGCAGTGACCTACTTAAACTAGAGTCAGTTTTCATTAGCTGGCTGGTTTGGAATTTGCATACAATGTACAGATCTTGTAATGCAGCACTGGAATCTGTTTCACTGCTGTTCAGTCATTTCTCCCCCACCTGCCATGACCTTTGAATCACATGACTCTTTGTAGAGCATGAAGGAGCAATTCATGGTGGAAAGCATGTGTAAATGAGGCTCCTTAGCATAAGATTGAAACCTCAGCTTATGTAAGGGAGAAATAGAAATCTTGTAGCATTAGTGAGGGTAGAAAGGATTTAAAAAGGGAAATGAAATGAAAAAACAGATTTCAATCTCTGTAGAAGCATTGTGGCTGTGATGCTCTGTTTAGGACATGACTCCTCCTCATGCCCTAACAACTGCAAGACCAATACGTCACTTGAATTGAGCTTTGCAGCAGTAGACATCAATATGCACCGTTCTGCTACAATTGCACCATGATTTGGTGAAATTGACTACTCTACTCGGTTATCAATATTGTTTACAGGTTGAACTGATGTTTACAATGTATTGTTATTTGTCTTTTGGTATGTCTTAATAGTTTCCATGTGAACATCAGTTGAGGTGTTTTAAGTGTTGTGGTTTATTGTAGTGATGATACTTACATGCTTTAAATACCCATGAGTAATGTGGATACATGTGAAATTTTTAGGTTATGTGCTACCAAAGTTCACTCAACTCACTGTAACATCCTATTATGCTGCTTCGAGTGCCTCACATTATGGAATCTCACTTCTCACCCGCCATATTGAAGAGAACTACAGGACCAAAACTCAGAATCTCAAGTGCCTCTGAGGATTACTCTCAGGGGTAGTTAAAAGGAAAATACATTACCCTTTGGCAATTTTGTTTACATTATCGTCCTGAGAATGGTTAGGATTGTTAAGATTTAATATGTAATGTTTTTTGTTACTCTTCGTGAAAATGCTTATAATGTGAATAATGGTTCTTTATATTTTACTATTCAGTTATAATAGCTCATTTATTGAACCCATATAGTGTTTTAGGGGAAACCAGTTAAGAAAGAAAACCAACAAAATTCAAGTCAACCTTTTTAATCGTTATTTTATCAGTAAGATTAATTTACAAGATTGTTTTTCTCGATAATAGTGTAATACTGAGCAGTCCATCCTGGAATTCTTAGCTAATATTCACCCATCAAATTTAGTGGCTTAGTTGACACTACAATCTGTTTCCCTTAATATCAAATCTAGTCGTGTACAGCTGCTGAGGCGGCATCACATGCTCTGAATGGGGCGTTGGACCAGTGGTTTGTTTTACTGTCGAATGAATTGCCGTATCTTTAATATATTTGCATATGCAGGAAGTCCGTGGCTAAATGGGATAAAACAGGTGTTTTTGTATTTGTGGTTCAAGCTCACGTGTGTCCTGTTTCAGTGAAGCTCATTGCTTATTATTAGTTATTTCCCTTCATCTTGCCAGTGCCAATTGTGGCATTGCATCAAGCTGAAAGTGGCCTGGCTTAAATTTAAATCCCAAGTTCTAGAACTAAGGTAGTATAAGTAGTACCAATTTCGTTTAGAAACTTGGCACTTACAGAATTTGTTTTTTCACAACGAGATTAAAGTCTCAAAGAAATAGTCTAACAACACTTACATCCAGTAAACATCTTTAAAAGAGTAGTACTATAATGTTTCAAAAGTAAAATATTATAAGACAATAGTATCTGTGCTAAAAATATAAAAAAGGGTTGTTTTTATCGTTCTTCCTCTAACATTGTTGGATATTAGCAAAACAAGATCAATAACTATTATTCATCGCGGAATGTTAGGAATACACTCTAATTAAAGAAAATTATGAAAGTAGAATATATAAATATTAAATTAAAATTGAAAGAGACTTACACGATTTTTTATAATTTTTTAAGAAATTTTAATTAATAATTAAAAATGTATTTAAAAAGTATGTTAATGACATTTCTCTTGATAATTATTAACATGATGCGAATGTAAATATTAATTTTAAAGGTTATTTATATTAAATTATTATTGCAGCCCACAGTATATTTGTTAAAAATATTAGAGGCAATAACATAATAATAATAATAATCCTTTATCTTAAATAATAATTTTTTCTTTAAATAGTAAATATTAAAAAATTAATTAATTTAAATCTTTAAATAATTTATTTAGTCACAATTTTTTAAAATATTAAATTAATTTTGAATATATGTTTATTACATAAATATGTAATTTAGTTGGAGAAAAGACTTTAGTATAAGATGTTCAACGGAGTTAAGATTTAAATATAATTATATTAAAATCATTCGAAAACTAAAATTACTTACAATATTCGTTAAAAATTTAAGGTGCATGGATGCACCAAAGCTTAGAAGGAACCTAGTAAAAATCAGCACAGAACAAAATGTTAAACTAAAAAAACTAAGAGACAAGTGAGAACTCATTCTCCTCCTAACATCTACTTTGTTTCCACAAACAATCAAAAACGGATGCAAAACGAAAAAACAAAGTAGCCTAACACTAAAAGCTGTTTGGTTAGTTTTGGAGAGGTTTGGGTCCCAAAGTCCTAAACTGCAGCAAACTAAATGGGCAGAAAAATGGGTCAATTTTGGCCCAGCCAATTTTTTGGGCCTGATACGAAGTTCTGTGTGTAATTAAAAAATTGTAATAGGCATTCGTTCATACCTTGGACCTTTATTTTAATAGTGAAAGTTGTATTTCTAATAAGCTCAGAGTTTTAATTATCGATTGACCAAAATTTTTTTTAATTATCTTACTCCATAGTCACATAAATGACGAGATTAGAAATTAATAAAAGTATTGTCATAATTAACCTTGTGCTAATTAAAGATCACATTCCTTAATTCCTTATTTCATTATAACGTTAATGTGGAAATATATTAAGCCAATATATATAACTTGATAAAAGAAATCAAAGATTGAAATGCATGAATTGAATAAATATTTTGGCTAACAACTATTTTGAATAGTTGTAGGTATATAAGGCACTGAATCCCTAAGCACAATTTGTTTACTCACAACTTCCATAATCCATATAGTCACCATTGTGTCATTGATTATTTAACTTACAAATTATTCATTAATCAATATAAGCATTAATAAGTAGTTAAACACCTTTTCTCAAAAATCTTTAAGGTGCACAGAAATAGGCATTTACACCTGTCACCTTATCTTACTATGATAAAACATCTTAGTTGGAAACCAAAACATTGACGTCCAATGACTGCACACTTCACCATCACCTTTACTACCATGTACACATACTTCCATGCAAATAAAGGGCATCTTTTACCAAGAAAACTACAAAGTGCAATTACTTAATTACCATAAAACCTAATCTTACTTTCATAGAATGTAAGGTTTCAATTAACAAAACACAACACATCACTTGATACCTATAAGGTTGCATCTTCACTTGCCCTTGGTTCCAATTACCTAGTTAGTGTTTTAAGCTGCTAAGGATACTTGAAAAGACCAGACAAAATAAAATAAAACCTTAACCTCTATCACTATTTTGCTCCATGTGGCAACTTTACTTTCCTCCTTCATCCTTACTTGCTCGGTTGGTCTATTCACTTTCAAGAAATAATCAATCAAACGAAAAATAAACATAAAATGATAGACAAATAAAGCTTTAGGATTTCGAAATATCGAAACACTAAAATAAAAGAATAGTTACCTTCATATCTGGGATCGCACCACACTAACTAACCTTCAAATTTCTATTCAAGTTTGGACAATGAACATGATGGAGATGGAGACATAGTTATGATCTATGGTGAGTTAGAAGTTAGACCTGTCAAAGACATAGAAGAAATGATAGAGACAGTGTTTGGAATGAAGCAAATGAGGAGTGGAGAATGTGACCACAGGCTGGCCTCTTAGCTGGCAAAAAAGAAGTGAAGATAGCAGCTAGGATGGAGAAGTTGAAGAAAGAGATTAAATATTGCAATTTGCCAGCAACAAAATTGCTCATAATTTAAATCAGAAGAACTAAAAGTGTTATTATGTATTATAACTAAATAAATAAAATTGTAATAAATATTAAAATTGTTTCTAACAATTAAATCTTTTTTTTTGTTAGAAGCAAAACATAACTAGTCTATTACATAAACATGGTATTAAACTAAAAATAATATTACTAATTAGTTTAATTGTATTTATTATTTTTATTCTTATACATTGATTTATATGTAATTTTGATTTTTTAGTTATAATTATTTTATTTTATTTTTAATTATTCAAATTAAGTCTTTTACTTAAAAATTTTGTCTAATAATTAACAAGTATATAATATAAATATAACATATTATTGAATGAAATTTTATAAATATTTAATTTAAATAATTAAAATTTTAAATATGAATAATTAAAATTAAAATTACATATAAAATGAAGTACAAGACTAAATGTTTAATTAAGCATTACTAATTCTAACAACTTATATAATCTCATAAAATAAATATCTACTTTCAACCAATTAATTCATCTAATACATGTTTAATTATTCTTTAATATATTCTTGAATTTGAGCACCTTATATACATTAAAAAATTTCATTAAAAGATCTATCTCTGTTGAAGAAAATAAAACAAATAATTTATTGTATTTTTATTTCGTTTACTTCGTAACTAAAACGAATCCATCATCCGTTTATTTTTAAATTAGGTAATTCTGATCCATTAATTAATAAAATAAAAGCAATTAAATCTAAAGAATCAACATTGTTAAATCGATTAATGAAAAATGAATACGTGGCAGCTAATGTGATTTGACACCTAGGATTGTCAACAACATTCTTGCAAAGCTTGGAAAAGGAATCATTCAATCATTCTGGCCTCATTTGGTTGAACAACATTCAAGAGTGTACCTATAAGGAAAGGTCAAAGATTACCTGCATATCTTCATGCTAGATTTGCTACTTGATATTACAAAGCTCTTCAGACAAAATGTAAAGATGGAACAAAGCCTTTCTGACACTTATGAACTTTAAGAATGAGATTTGGGTGTTGGAAGCAAGTTCTTCCTCGTTCTCTGGGTCAAATTAGGGACAAAATATTTATAATTGTGGCAAGAAATAATGTTGACACATCGTACAAAAAATCTGTTTATTGATTTGACACTATTAACGCTGCAGATTTTAATTGCTTTCATTTTATATCAATGAAAATATCAAAATTTCACAATTTAGTAAAAGGATGAATTTGTTTTTTTAATAAAAATATAAGAATAAATATTTTACATAAAAATTTTATAGTTTCACATTTTATTTTTTATATACTATTTTTTAATCTTTTATTTATCATATCTTTAATTTATTATATATTTTTTCTTTTTACATCAACTTGACATCTCAAAATAAATTTTAAAGAATAATTAATTTTTATATTATAAATAAAAGTCTATTATTTAGAAAGTAAAATATTCAATAAAATTAATTTTTTTACAGTTTACCATATATATATATATTTAAATTAAAATTAACTGAGAATAATATGCGAATTACATAATATTTTATTAAAATAATTTTACTTTATATATATATTGTTAATTTAATTTTAAATCTTGAAAAATTAAATTTATTCTTTAACTTTTTTTATTACTTTATATAAATTTTTAAACACCTTATATATACCTTCATATATTTTGATGTTTCATGTTTGTAAAATTTTATACTATTAATTATTATGTGAGTATTTTTGTTAAGTCAAACTTTGTAAATGCATTAATATATTCTAAATTATCAAATTAAGAAAATGTCAAATTTTAAAATAAATTAAACGCTAAATAACATAAGATGTTTAATTATTATTTTTTAAAAAATATTTTTGTTCAATCAATCCTTTGATGGGTATAAGAGTAGTTTGTAGCAGTTTTTTTTAAATAATTTTTGAAAGTTGATTGTATTCATCAAAAGACTAAGTTGATTGTTCCGTTTGACAAATCCAATTCAGGTTGAATGAA